AAATATTTGTCTTTTCAGAAAATAAACAATTTAAAAGAAAAGTGCCGATCGATAAATCATTAATATTATCAAATAAAATATGTAATGTGCATTATATAATTTTAAAGATACTGACTAAAGAACATTCCCCTAATTGTTGTAATTGATGTTAAGCATAAGTGATATCCCTACCAATTTTTCTTATTTTGGCAAAAAAATTAATATATAGTATTCAATCTACTTATTTTGGGAATGTATTAAGACGTGTAATTTTTTTCTATCTTTATTTTTTATCTGGGTAAAATAATGGCGACTTAAAGCGTGTTAGCAGTAACTGTATGCAAAAAAAGAGCTCTATGGAAAAATTGGGGTAATTGGGGGACTCTTATGTCCAAAGTTGTAGTAGTTGATGATGATGATATTGCTTTACTTAAGTATGATAAATAATTCTTTATTAGCAAGGAAAGCTTTACTATTATCGATTTTGGATAAATCAAAGCAACTGAAGTAATTGCTAATGTTATTGGAAATGCTTACAGATAAATGATTCGTCGATAATTGTCACATGATATATTAGACATATGGCTAAGAATTGCTTCTAATCTATGAATTGCTTTCTCTCGAAATAATTTAATTCAACAAACATCAATTCACTTTTTATTTTGGGCATTATAGACATATATCTGACATTATTAATTAAATTTAAATATTTTAAATTACTGAAAAATTTTCGAAATGGAATTTATGTAAAAAGTTATATGATAGTTCGTTTGCAAAACCGTCTTCATTTTAACTAATAATCAACCGAAGTTAATGACATTAATGCCCACTCTCAGATGCCGCTTTTGAAGTTTTTCAGTACGCGCGCCATGTTTTAGAAGAAAACACATAACACAGACATATGATTTGTGAGGTTACGTAATTGTTTATATTCAATGACGTATAATATATAGACTCGGTGAACGCTTTAAAAAGTGTCCAAAACATGAATACCTTTGTTATTGTTTATTGTTTTGATACGAAGATGCACGAAGTTCATGATTTCTTACGAAGCATCACGAAGTTGATCTTGTGTTTGAAAACATCATGGACGTACTCCATTTTGTGTGACAAGCAAATTTTATTTTAAATTGTTGATAGTTATTTACTTACTATTTTAGTAAAATGCCATACTATTTTATCAAAATAATTATTTCTCTTATAGACGGGAACAAAAAGAAATCATAAATATTTAATTTTAATTAAAAAAATAATTATTGTCATTAACATATAAATGAGCACGCCGCTGTTCTAATAAACATACCTTCAACCTTGAGCCGAGATCTTTCGGACACTCGATTCTATAGCGAGAATAGGGGACTGCGTAGTCTATATATTATACGTCATTGTTTATATTTATGTTTAATTATATTTATGTTATTATATTTAACAATGTTAATATAATTGTATAGTATGTCTATGATTGCCGTAAGTCAATTAAACCGGGTTAATTTTTGTATGCACACCACATAAACAACACTGGTTCCCTTTAAAATATAGCGGAACGTCCGCGCGTACTTAATTTTCCATGGAGAGTGGGCATTCTGATTGTTTATTATTCTGTGATTTTGCCTTATTTTTTTTTGCCAATGTATGAAAAATATTTGTTACGATGATTTCGTTTATTAACTAATATATCAAAATCTGTCAATGTAGTATCTTTTGTCAATTATTGAATAATTTAATTGTAGTGCAAAAGTATTTGTTATAGGAATATAATAAATAACTGTAGTAACTTGTTGATACTGTGTTTTATTTCAGAACATTATCAAATAACTTTTCAAAGTATATAAAGCTTCGTGCTATTTCGAAGATACTCATACAGAATAAAGCTTCTCGAGTTCCCAGTCCATATCAAAATCAAAACTGTTCATTACTCCAGTTTCTCCCCGCGTAGTGAATATATGCGATATTGCAAAATTAGTAAAAGGATTTTCAAGGAATAAGCTTATTTAAATATATACACACAACCGTACTTATATGGAATCTTCTAATATTTCTTATTATTTTTAACCAATTTAAAAAACCAACCGACGAAATCAAAGAATACTTATTTTAGAGCATTTTATCACCAATACATAAAAATTAAAGAAACCCATCAATTCTTAAATAATAAAATTGAAATTAACTGGTTTAAGGTCACTAATATCATTCAAAATTTCAATGAACAAGAAATGATGTTTAAATTCTCTTTATTTCTTGTTCTTTCTTAGTAGTTGGTGTTACTAACCATACCAGGTGGTGAATCGTCAAACGGGCCATAGGAAACTCAATGGGAAATTTTAAATGGTTGAATTGCTGCTTCCCTAATTATTTTAGATCAAAAGTCATAAAAAACTATTTGTAGAGGACTAAATTCTGAATTAAAAACAAATGTTAAAACCGTTCTACGAATCAAATGTACTTCAAAATTTTGCAAAAATATAATAGATTTTTCAGACCACCCCTAAAAGTTAGGCCACACGTAATACAACAATATATAACAACGTGTGTGTTTTACATCGAGTTAGAATCTAGCTCGAATCTCGAGTCAGAATCTAGATTCTAACTCGATGGTGTTTTACCATATTGTTGTCAGATGTTTGACAATTTGAATTGTCAATTTTTTTTATTTTATGATTAAATTATAAACAAGGAATTTTACTAAATACTACTACTACCGAACAATATTCCTTTGTGAACAATAAATTATATTGTTTACAAACCGATCAATATAATGAAATGTACTCAGTTGACGAAAAATCGCATAATGTTGTATTCAGGCAATAGCGCGAACCTTTTCCTGTCACTACCGGATCTTTATAAAATAGTTGATTTAAATATTGTCAAATATTAGAAACGCCAATATGACAAAACGCAACACGTAATACACATTCTTTTCACGACGTCTGGCCTGACTTTTAAGGGTGGCATGAAAATAGTATTATATTTTAGCAAAATTTTGGAATACGTTTAAGTCGTAGAACAATTTTAACAATTGTTTTCGATACGTATTTGAGTCCTCTACAAATAGTTTCCCATAACTTTTGGTGTAAAATAATTAGGGAAGCAGGAATTCAACAATTTAGAATTTCTCATTCAGTTTCCTATGGCCCGTTTGACGATTCACCACCCTGTATACCTTATTCAAGCTCCAATTCGCGTGGGTATGCTCCTAAACAAATTGTCAAGATTTTATTGTGGTCGATTATTTCCATTCTTCAAGAGCAGCTTCTACTAGCTGTACGGTTTTTTTGGAAATTATGCCGACTAGGTCTAATTCTTTAAGCATATCACCTAAATGCTCTATAGAGTTACGGTCGGGTGAGCAAACAGGACACTGAACAATTTTGATATCTTCAAGGAAGTCTGTAATAACTCTGCTGGTATGTAGAGTAAGTATTATTATGCGAGAAAATTAAATTTTTTTTCCAGCGAGCTATTAAAGATGGTTGAATGGAAATTAAGGGAATTTTTTCACCCACCATATTACTTCCTTACCTAGAACTTTCGAGAACACTTTCTCCTTTATGTCTTCGAACAGATCTGGCTGTTTCCGTTCTTGCTTGACTTCCTTGCCCTCTAAATACACGAATTCATCGGTAATAGTATTTTACACAAATCCTGGTTTCCTTTGAAAATAGCACATTTGGTAATTTCCAATGTTCCAGTTTTGGTATTGAAGACACCAATTTAGGCGATCAATCTTGTGCTACCTGGTTAACTCGTAATTCGTACTACCGTAACTCTCTACTGCTCTATATTCTTTGGGCACGAAGTCTTTCTCTTATCGTTTCAACTGAAATACACCTGTACCTTCCAAAAGCTGCTTTTGGAGTTACGAGTGAGAAAGTGTTGGGTCTCTTCCAACAGCTTGTGCAATAAAACGATCGTGGCAAGCCATTGTTACTTTTTGGCGACTTTATATTTGCCTAATCTTAAGCATTCCTAACTACTGATACCTAACAGGTTTTTACCACAACGTCCTGTGTTACGCTTACCACTGCAGCTATGTTCCTCTGAGACATTCCTTGCTCTACAAAAAAATAATTTGAAAGTGAAAGTTAGTTTATTTGTTTTCGTTCAATTTAGAACTAAAGCAACTAATCTATACCGTACCGGGCTGTGTTATCTGATTGTTTTATTGGCTTATTTATTTTCAATTAAAACCTTTATTCTTCGCAACAATAACAAGTTTTTTCAAAAGAAATAACTATTGCTTTAAAATACATGACGATTCCGTATAAGTTTGGTTGTATATATACCGGTAAATTAGTCATCACGCCTTTCTGGTAAGGATCTACCGATTTGTATCGCCAAGCTGCAAGCCCTTAACTCTTGCCGGACTGCTCCCTTATGGTCCGATTAGACACCAGCATGTTCTAGTCTAAGCAGCAGACTCATTTAGAATTTTAAACTACTATGTTAATCTTGTTATTTTTCTCTAAACCGGACTAGGATTCGAACGGACTCCCACTAGATTATTTCGGCAGTGAAGCGAAA